AGCAGAGCTATTGCTGTGCTTCAGTAGGGAAAACTGATGCAAAATGACTGTATGGTAGTGATGAGACAGCATCCCTTTTAAATGTATCATAGGAATTTGTCTGTTGCATATGTATCCTGCTTATGTTACCTAACAAACATTAGCTGATTCAAAGGGGTGGAGGTGAAGCCGGCTAACATGTGAGTCAATGTCATTGGCAGAAAAACTGATGGAGGCGTGGAAGGAGGTTGGCCTTCCATTAAACAAGCCAGTAACTGCTGCCTGCAACTTCTGTGACCGGCCGCTGTACTTTGACCTGATGAGTGAATGGGAAAAGTCCTATTTTGGCAACATGGAGCCCAAGTACATCACAGTGTCTGCCTGACAGGAAAGGCGCACGTGAAGAAAGGCATTATGGGAAATTGTATTTCATTGTCAAAAGAATATACTCATTTAATATACCTCTGTGTGTTTTGGTAGTTTTTCCTCCATTTATTCTAATTCATATATTACACATATTGTATTCACGTGTTTTGTGTACTTTACTTTTTATTTGGTGTCCATTCAGGTAAAATTTGTCACAGAGCGAAGAGCAGCCATATCAGAGTTATCTTCATTATTTTCATAATTATTAGTCTATTCTGACAGACCTTTACTGTGCTCTCGAAACTATAACTCTGTGACACCTGCACTCCAAGCACTTTTTTGAAGAATAATTTGACCTTTTGTGGTAGTTAAATATTGTCTGTTTTGATTTCATGTCTTTTCTGTAACTTTTGCCAAATTCAACAATATCTGTTATACATTATATTCATCACATAATTCATCATTGACATTTCTGCTAAAGGGAGGTGAATACTATCCTCCAACTTAGGAAATGGACCCATAGATCATACATCTTCAATGGCAATAAACTCAGTATGGCTATAGGCAGCACTAATACTTTTTTGTTACTCCAGGTTTGTTAAAGGAATTGCTGTTTGTGGCGTGTTGTGTCATTAAGAGTTTTTATTTTTAACAAGTGGCTATTCTATTGTTTACACATAGAAGTTCAGATTAAGATGCTTCATATAATTATTATTGTTGTAGCTGTTGTTACAATTGATATATTTAAATTCAGTCGGATTTTACATCTACAGAGCCTCATGCCAATATTTGTATATCAGTAATCGCATCAATATATTTGTCTTTTTTAGTTTTCTGCCAGAATAACAATTTCATCATTATTTCTGTGTTTTTTCTCTTTTTTCCCTCTTGTTCTTCACATATAGTTTTAGGTTTCCCATGCAGGGAAATTGGTCATTATAAACTTAAATTTTTTGTGTTTTTCTGTTGTGGTGCCATGTGCTGCCCAAAGCATACCTTTATTTATGTCACACATTTCAGGGGGAAAAAAATTATCAAAGAATGGGTGCGACTATTGCCTTACACCTTCAAGGCTGGTTTTTCAAACCTCGCCCCCGGTTTGTGCTTACAGGGTTTGTATCTCTCCCCCTCGGGATCGGTTTCTTCCCACAGTCCAAAAACATGTATTTGAAAGATGTGGCATCTTTAAGCTCCAAAAAAAATGTGTGTCCTGTGATGGGCAAGCATCCTATCCATGCTGTTCCCCTGCTTTGTGTCCTGGATATATGCATAAGTGGCTGGAAGATGTGAATGCGTGCCAAACGTAAGGCGTTCCATGATGTGAAGAGACGTCCTGGATCATGAGGGGGGGGGGCTTTCATAAGGTGGCTGGCTCCCAACTGGCTGCCTGCATAGTAAAACTCCAATGAGCTTTTCCAAACATAATTTCTGGAGTGCTACAGAACTCACGTTCAGAGTCTTCGTCATCTACATCCATCTGGTCATTTTCAATTATATAAACTTGATTTAAACGTTAAAGGTTTACTTAAAACTGCAGACGGGAAAGACACTGTAAATTAATACACATAAAAGAATCAAATCAGAGAATGAAATCAGCATCAAATCAACTCAATCCATTCATCAGCAAGCAAGTAGACAAATAAAGCGATCCCAGTTACGTAATCACCCTGCGACTAAGAAGACGTCGTTGCGTGAAGTGACGTATTTAGAGCGACAGAATCCTGGAAGCTGTTACAACCTTACGGACTCAAAACAATACTTAATATATATTATACCTTAAGTCTCGTTTATTTAAGAGTAAATATGGCACAGTATAAGGGAGCCGCCAGCGAAGCTGGGAGGGCTATGCAGCTTATGAAAAAGCGTGAAAAGGAGCGGGAACAACTGGAACAGCTAAAGCAGAAAATAGCAGAGGTATTGCCCGATTTAGCTTAGAAGACAACACCAAGTTTATCCGAAAGACTAACTCATTGTTAAAGATAATGTGATGCAGTTATTTCACAGGGTTTTTTATATGATCGAATTGGTGGTGGCTAGATGAATATCTCGCTGTATATATGTAGTAATTTTGTGGATTGATAGTTTATGTCGTTTAAAGCTTGGCGTCTGGGGATATGAGTCTGTTTAAATGCGCAGTGTAAATGCGGCCTAGACCAAGGAGCATGTGTCACATCTGTATACATATGGTTATTTTAACATTAAACTTACAACACTCACTTTTTACTCCGATCCATTACATGTCCCTTTTTAATCATCCGGTATTGTGCCGAAATCCCCCTCCCCAATCCTCTTTCCTTTCGCGTGCACGCGCATTCTCAGCACCGCGGTGTTTTAACCGCATGTAATTCACAAGGTTTAAAACGAACGGTTTAAAATAAACTTAGGAATTCTAAAGGCATTACCTAAGTATAACGCGAATTATTGGCTGTGACTATCACACTATTTTATCATCTTTATGCAAACTTCCGTGTTATGGCATTCGGCCCTAATCAAAATTTAAATTAATCCGACAAACTGCAACACAGTCCATATTAGCAGGGGGGATGATTTGGCAGTGTATGTCTTATTCTGATGTTACCTCTTTACGTATTGTTTATGCAATTAAATGCGGTTAAAACATAGCGTTACTGAGAATGCGCGTGTACGCTAGAGGGGGAGGATGTCGGCGCAACCCTACACCAGAATTATTGCATATAACGGGAATCACTCAGTTTACGGAAGAGGATTAGGGCCACCATGAAAATATTATTTGAATTCTGACTTTAATCTCAGAATTCTGACTTTTTTCTCAGAATTCTGACTTTTTTCTTTACTTTTTTTTTCTAAACTCAGAATTCTGAGATTAAAGTCAGAATTCTGAGAAAAAAGTCAGAATTCTGACATTAAAGTCAGAATTCTGAGAAAAAAGTCAGAATTCTGAGATTAAAGTCAGAATTCAAATAATATTTTCATGGTGGCCCTAATCCTCTTCCGTACTCAGTTGCATTTCTCTTATCAGGTCAATATTGCTGTGCAATTGGACAATGTTTAATCCACTTAAATATTGTGAATTACTGTAAATTAGTTAATTGTCATTAACCCATGGACCAAATGTTTTCTCAGACATTTTAAATTTAGTGTCCTTTAATTTTGTTCTTCTAGACCTGATTATTTTTTAAATATAATGTTGATTATTCTGAAGTGCCTGTGTATCTTATAGGACAATATGGTGAAGTCCAATATTGACAAGAAGTTCTCTGCCCACTATGATGCTGTGGAGGCTGAGCTGAAGTCTAGTACTGTAGGTGAGTGGGTGAGAGTCCATGAGCAGGTTGTGGAGGTTTTCGGGTTGGACCATCCACACATAGAATAGTAAAAAGCAAGTCCTGGTCATAAAAATGTAATGCAGACTGGAAACTTTTAATTGTGAGCTTTGGAATGAATGAATGCTACATTTATATAGCACTTTTTTTTTTCCAAGACACCCAAAGCACTTTATAGAACCAGTGGGGAGCCACTTCAACCCCCACCACTGTGTAGCCCCCACCTGGATGATGCGACAGCAGCCATTCTACACCAGTACACTCACCACACAGTAGCTAAGGTGGTGGAACCTCCATGTGTTGAAGTTGGGGAATTTGTGTAGTTGATGTTTCTTTATGGCTCCACAATCTTCTTAGGCCTGGTGACTCTCAATGACATGAAGGCCAAGCAGGAAGCACTGGTTAAGGAGAGAGAAAAGCAACTGGCCAAGAAAGAGCAGTCCAAGGAGCTTCAGCTGTGAGTGAACTATGTGCCACATAGTTAAACCAATGGAGATGAGACAGTAGCACCCATAATGGTCCTGGCATCAAGATTAAATGATTGAAGTGCAGGTCTAGCCTTGAAACTTCTTTCTTGTTTCCAAGGAAGC